TTGTAATTAAACGTGGCAATATATGAACCATACTTTCATGTTCTTTTCTCCAGGTTGCCAATTATCCCTAATGAATGATTTAGAATTGATAGAGATTCCTTAGACCCTGAATCAATTCCGGGTCTAGAGAAGACCCTCCATAATACAAGCGGAACTATATAATACCGTAAATTGTATCAATAATAGGGTAGCCACAGGTAACTTCACAACAGCTTGCTAGCGGAAAAGAGAAAACTAAAGGAAAACGTCGCCTTAACGTGACTAGGAGTGTACTGGCTTCCAAAAGAAACCTTAAAAGGTAATTTGGTGCTCGTCCGCGTTGTAGCAGTTGTGATAGCATTATATCTGTATTTTCCTGAACAAGCCTGGACCGCTTGAACACTATTAGCCTGTAATCGCCAACCTTCGAGCGCTGTGCACGTGCCACTTCAGGAAAATGCGTAATTTGGTGTTTTCTCATATTATGTAAATGTCAAATTTCCAAGTAAAAAACCTTGGGCCGCATTCATTATGAATGTCTTGCAGCCTCCGAAAAACAACAGAGATATGCCAAGGTTAACTCAGCAACAAAGGGACAGGACGATGAAAATGCTCCTTGAGGGCGTAACGCAAAAAAAAGTCTCGCTGCGACTCAGATGAACTCGTGTGGCCTAAACCGGATTGAATCAACACTTCATCAAAATTTGCAGAACATTTCACTTTGAGAATACTACATTTCTCAAGGGCAAGTGTTCTGCCAGTCGCGTTACAAGAAAGTCCAAGTCCAAGATGGTCGTAACGGATGTTGCACTTCTCCCCCTGGGACATTTTCGTCCCTTTGTTGCTACGTTAGCCCTTAATATCTCTGAATTTTTTTCCGAGGCGGTATAACATGCACAGCAGATTCCGCCCATTTTCATAACTGGAAATGTGAACTTTATATATGGCATGGGAAAAACCTAAATACGCATTTTCCTGACGGGGCACATGCACAGTGCTAAAAGATTTACGAGCACACGCTTATAATGTTTAAGCGGTGGTGACTTGCTCAGCAAAGGGCAGCTATCCTGCTATCACAATTCCCACTTCGCTAGCTAGCTCTAAATTACCTCATGATGTTTCTTTTGGACGCTATTACGCAGACAGCTTATTTAATGCACTTTCAATCAAGTCTAAGGAATCTTTCATGCTGAAGAATGTATTGACTGATTTTGGTTTTAATCGGGCTTTTTAAAAACCCCAATTAACAGGCAAGGGAAAGCGCGCAGGGAAAGAGGGGAACACCTCTGGAATCCTCCCATTTAATGGCGATTCTTTGACAACAAATGAAATAATAGCATATACACATAAATCCTACCCACCATTTTGATTCCGCTGAGCGCTCCGAAATCGAAGGTGAACGAATGCGCCTCGGGCCGGCAATTTCTAAGTCCGGTGATCATGTTTTCCTTCTGTAGCAGCGTGAAACACTTGAAGTAATATCTGATTATATTTCCACTCTCTTCAGCGAATAATCGCTCGATCCACCTCCCGCCTGTACCCGACAACGCAAAGTATAACCCATTTGTTTCAATGTTTGGAAGTCCTGAATGCTCACCGGTAATTGGAATGGTCTCCTCGATATTTTTCGAGTGTATAAACCACAAAATATTAACTTTCTCAATTCAACATCACACCAATTAGGCATGAGCCAAGTTTCACCTTTGTGTTTCTACCCGATTCGCTAGGACGAAGAGAAATACTTGAAAACGTTGACCCCAAGAAATATTCCTCCAGGGCATGCACACCCAAATGCATATATATCATATATTTGTATGGGTATGCTTAAGCCAAGTTTCAGCTTTCCATGTCGGGTGGATGATGATGATTTTTTTACCCACAGCGTCTACAGTGAGTTGGATAATGGATGTTTCCAAGGATGGGTACTTCTGCCCAGAAATATGAGAGAGGACTCCACAAACCACTTGCCTTGTAAATTTGATGTGAAATAAAGCCAAGTGTGAGAAAACGTCGACTTGTCTTGTCCTCGTCGATTCCTTTGCAAAAAAAAAGGAAAGAAAGAAGCCCGTACTTATGTTGATCTAGAACGTACTGCTCATGTTTTAATGGGAGAAACCAATTTGAGGTTTGGGTGAAAAAAAACCTCTTCCATGATTTCGACGTGATGCCTACATTTTCCTTTCAAATATCTCTTCCTCGTTCGAACACGACCTGTTTTATCTCTCCAACCAGTGCACAAACTACAGAATATAAAAATTAAAATTAACCATGACTTTAAGAAGGAAAGAGAGTGATGGATCATTACACTTGGTGGTGGTATGGCATCCTTTCACCATATTCCTCAACTAATGCCATGCTTAACCTGCTCTTCCCTGAGCCGGAGCATCAGCCTTGTCGCCCTACACAAAACCAAAAGGTTACGGACACCACATGTCAACACAAATTGCTTTCAGATATCAACATGCACTGCCTCAAGAGCGCGCATTTATAACTGGCATATGAAAGACTGAATATCGTGTTGCCCGCTCCCCTACTCTACTGCATTGTACTAATGATGATTAATTCCAATGAATATTGGCTCCAGACTAATTATTCATGGCGTCAAGGTTTAAGACAATCCTTTATTTAAAAACATTTTCACATGAGAGAAGGCAACCTAGAGGTCTAAAAGCGTTTTTCTTATGTGACATTAGACCTGGTGTTTGCATTTCATGGTTGGCTTCTACTGAGTCGTTCCTTGCCGGGGAATCACACAGCAGTCGATGGAACTTTCCGTTGGTTCCTAAGGAGATCTCGGAACGAGACCAAGATAGGTCATGATAGGGCAAGGCTGGGAACCCATATAGTCGGCAACACGATAACTCCGAAAATAACATTGGTGAAAACAACATTGAAGTTCAGGAGCATAACTAAGTTCGGATGGGGAAAACAGATGAAGGTTAAAGTTAATTTTAAAAAGAGGAAAGAATATTAGTTTCACAACCATCCCACATTGTCTTCTCTCTTTTTTTTCCTAGCGCGTTTATAACTTTCGCAAATGTGAGAAGCCTCTGGTATGGGTTGGAAAAATATTGTTACTAGTCCCCTCTAGCTTAAAAAAAATCTGTCCCCAGGGTGTCTTTTTTAATATTAAATGTATTTGAAGCATTTTTAATCCATTTGCATCCTGGAACTTTTCGTTCTATTGAATACCTGTCCTACAGCTCTGCAGCCTTAGACTGGCGCGCGATACGTAGTATCTTACCTACCTACTAGTCTATTCCTATCATATTTGGGCTAGAAACTGGGAGGAAGATCACGGAACGATGGGTATCTGACTAGTTGTTGCCATGAAACTGACTTGCATGAGAAAGCATTTGACCATTCCTTGGACCGTCTAGTGGCTAGACTTGACCCTGACACCATAGGATATATTTTTCACGGGGGCATCTGAAGAATAAGGTGCTCATATATTTCATATTTCTCTCAAATTCTTTCGGGTTTGGGTCTCAAGATGGGAATTCAGTAGCCATAAAGATGGAATTGTAATGACCTCAGACTTCCCCGAATGAAGGGAAAGGTGATTCTGCCAAATTATGCCAAAATCTGAAACACAATGAAGAGTGCTACAATGAAAGCCATTACCATTGTTCGCAATGATCAGAGGACTGGGAAGACAAGCATGTACTATGGAAGTACGGGTTATCTCCAAAGGAACATCTTTTCATTCCAATTAATTTTTTTTCCACCAAAAAATTCCCTTTTATTTATATCCTCCTCGCGCTCATTTTCTGGCAAAATAAATGTGCATGTCATTTGACGATGAGAGAAACCGTCTTGTTAAGCGCTTTTTAAATGTTTCTCGTCATTCGCTTATTCATACTTCTTTTTAGATAACGTCATGGAATAATGTCGGTCCAGCTATCGTCTTCAGATTGTTTCCTGAATATATATCATTTTTCTGCACCTGGAATCTAAAAATAAAAGCTGCCGCATCAGAAAACAGGGAGCACATTCTACTCTATGTTTTCACTGTAAGTCCTGTTCCCTGCATCAAAATCCATTTTGGAACCTAGGTTCCGGCATGCATTTTTGGGATAGGTCTACTTTAATATGAGGGGGGGGGGGTGCAAATGTAGCGGCAAATTTGAAATTGCATTTGCTATGTGACTTAACGGTAAAGGGACGACAGAGGAAAGAACAGTTGGTCTCTTCTGTTTTAGGAGATCGGGCGCACTCCCTGCTCCCCTGACTGACACTGGGAATGACGTCGCCACGACATATTAGGGAGAAACAGCTGGCCGTAGTGGAATTCCGGGTCGCTGAGAACGTAAAACGGCAGGAGATATGTCGGCGGTTGCAACATGTATGGCAGAAAGAAGTGTCTACTGTTGGATTGAGCAATTCAAACGGGGGAAAATATCAGCCACGAAAGCGAAGTTGTAGACCCTTTCTCTGATATCGCTCACTTTTTTCTAAGAGTGTTCCCATGTATTTCGGGAATGGTGCATTTGCAAATGTCTTTGGAAACTTCACAATATTTACACTTCACCTTTTAGGAATGGACACAATGAGGTCAGGACCTATTTCAGAAAACACGTATAACTAAGCATTGCTGTGAATTTACAATAGGAATCAGCAAGAAAAGCCAGCCACCCCCCCCCCCCCCCAACTAATCCAGATATAAAAATAATCTCCACGAAATAAATTTCCGCAATACGTGCTCGCTTGGCAAGAAAACCTGTTATTCAACGAGCTGATAACTGGAATATATTTATTGGTAAATTCTCTATTTCAAAAAGCTCACTTCCGAAAATATATCGGACATGGCTCTATTGGGCGTGCGGATGCCATTACTGACAAGCTAAATAGTTATCACTTACGAAATTGGGAATAGATTATGAGAGAGAAAAAAATCGGTTCTAGAAATCATTGAGATATCCCTAAAATACTGATCGCCCATTTACAACTTCTAATGGGACCCATGCATCAAATCTGGCTTTCAAAGTTCCATCAAATCGAAAATATTTTCCTTGATCCGATCAGTGCTCGCCATCATTGATGATCCGATTTTGCCTGGAGAATAATTTACTGCGAAAGCTGCAGCAAATCTGATCGATGATGTCGAAGATGGTGATGAGAGAAATCCCGAGGCACACGCCGACGATTCCTCCTATGTTGGACAGCAGATCATGCAGAGTCACCTTCTCCTTCTCCAGGCTATAAGGGATTTGTCGAGGTATTCAAAGACGCTTTAAGGATCCTTAGTTTGAATCCTGAAAATGGGAAAAGAGGAGGTAATGTTCGAAGAGGGGAGATAAGTACCCTTTTTGATGGGAACTTGAAGTATACGGTGGCGCCTCCGGTATTGGCATCTCCCATCTCCATTTCACAGGTCGGGTTGGGATCGGCAGAGATGCGATAGTCAATTACGTTGCATCTCTTTGGACAATTGGAATCAGTCGGACGCATTCGAGGTACATCAATGTTCTGGGCCACCACAAGCCTTACTATGAAATTATGTTCGGTCATGATATCTCGACACACTGGCTTTGTCAAATGGACTTCCTCTGTCAACAGAGAAGGGATGATGCAGGATACGTTTGGATTTGACTGGAAACTCATCCAGAAGCAATTCTCCATGCACTGAGGAATCATGCGCATGAACATATTTTACCATTGCCTTATCTCAGTATCAGCCACCCCTCAGTGAATCATTCAAGCTCACTTTCATGTAGCTGTGATTTTCATTGTCGATGCAAGGATCCTTCCCTCTGCTGAGTGTTTGGATTACCTTAGGATTGAGGAAAAGGCTAACGGTCGTACTTTCTCGTACGTCCACCCTCATCTCCAGTTAATATTGAAGGTCAAAATTGAAGGCGTAAAATGGAGAGGAAACGTGAAAGATGAACATGTTTGACGGCAAGGCCAATATTGGGAATGGGGTGTCATATTTAACACAAATATCATTAATAATTCATTTTAGCGTTCACTGTATATCCCGCATCTGCTTCAAACCTTTTTTGGTCTACTCTCTACTATACTCCAACGCGACTTTTTATCCGAGTCATTCTCAAGCTATCGCGTGGCCCTTTTCATACAACTTTTCAGACATGCGTATTATTCATAAATGTAAGATAACCGTGTGAAGCACACGTCTCCCAAGGAGACTAAGGAATTCGAGGATAAGGAATAGCATCCAATGCTTTTTCTGTTGTAAGTCAGGACTGGGGTTCACCAGATACGAGAGCACAATCGTTTGAACGAGGAAAAACGTGAAAATCGCATCTGAAATAACATCCCTTTGTCTGAAATACGGCTGGTCTCGATACCAGATGCAGAAGGACATCTGTCGAAACGAGGAAAACGAGCACATTGTCTCGGAAACAATGTCTAACCTGGAATTGAATTCATTATATAGCTCTGTGCCACGTACCTGGACATCCCTTTTGAAATAACACGGAAATAGTTAATTGTTATGCAAGCAGGTAGCTAATGTTCCATAAAGTGTTTACAAATGTAGCCCTTCTTTCCTCATCCGACTCTCAGGTTGAGGAATTGTCCGTGTTCGCTGATTCCTATATTGAGACAATGCGAGACATATGGCAAGTATTAAACATTCCTGTGCGGAACGATCGGAACGTTCGTTAGATTACAGCAAAACTTGGAGGGCTTTTTTGCGCAAAAGATGCGCCGCGGGATTCTTTCTTCATACGGTACTTATTTTGAGCCAACTGAAAATATCATTTTGCTACTTTTTGAGGAAATTCAATTCAAATTCAAAATCTTCCACATTAAGAATTGGCAGGGATTACGTGTTTGTACGGGTGAATGGAGAGACTTTTATATTATGGCATCTAATTGAGCCTCAGTGTCACAACATTCTTACTAGTTCTTATGGAAATAGGTTCTCTGGTTCAAAAGTAATAAGTGCGGAATACACATACGCACAGACCACACTGTAAGCCTTCTTACTTACTGGGAAAAGGATAAATACCCAGATGACACCCGTCATACTCGTCGGTCGCCTTCCTGAAAATCGCTGAGTATATCGGATTCGCGTAAAACGGGAATCTTATAACAGGCAACAATAGAGTTTGCGTTCCCGAACGCGCAAGAGTTCGACATTTCAAGATTAAAATAATCAATCCTGAAAGATCGAAATCTTACGGGAACGTCGCCACGCGGACCTAAAACACAGGAAAGAATTGTCACAAAAAGGTTCTGACTAAAGGGTCAGTGTGTGATTTACTCGGAAGAGGTCGAGCATGCATCTCAGGAGCTGCTGATGAGATTGCCACAGTGTGACCATGTTCACTCGAAGTCCAGGAAAAGTCCGTCTGCAGTGAAGCCCGAGAAAGTGGACTGATCCATTGCAGTATCCACGGCTTCTTGAACGAGGACTCACGCTGTCGCGCTTGGAAGCCACATTACGTACAGAAACGGCACTCGGAAGACTGTAACATTTGCATGGAATGTGCGATATCCACGTTTGGATGGTTAAAGGTCGACCCTGCAATCGTGGGCAACATTTCGTGTCGAGTGATGAGGCCGTCTTACACGTCGGCGGTTTCCTTAACTTTCACAATAGCCATTTCTGAGCACGTGGGGAAACCCAGATAACTGGGAATGGCACAAGGACGACCGAAACTGAGTGTTTCGTGTAGAATGGCAGTAAATCGGATTACAACTTTAAAGACACCAGGAAAGGGGAACGCTACCTCACAAATCAGTTGGAATTCTTGTGGCCATTCATTTACAGTTGAGAGAACATTCCGAATATGCACTTCATGCAGGTTGGGGCACTGCATCATGTTACACCAAACTTGCGTGATTATGTTCCTGGGGAAAATAATCACGCAAGTCTTAGAAGTCGATTGGGGTGGACGAGGACCCACCGAGTGGCTGGCCCGAAGTTCAGATCTTACTCTTTGTCATTTTTTTATGTGGGGCTAAGCGAGTGTGAAAAGCTTCCTACCCAAAGCCGAGAACTTTGGAAAACATGCGAGAAAGCAGGGCCGATATGATTACCAACGCCACCAACATTTTCTTCAGAAATCGAAAGATATCGTGGCTGTAAAATTCCGTTTTTGTGCCGCCAAATATGGTGCTCACGTGGGAATATAATTACATAATTGACACAGAACCACAGTTGTTTACATCACCTACTCAGAATAATATAACTTCCAATCGAAATAATCCTTTAACGGTCCTACTACTACGTACTATGTGGAGTCTTGTTTCCACTCCTCTCTGTTTTACTTACGGATCTCCAAATATTTCAAGAACTGGGCGATGACACGACTTTTCTCTCAGACCATGGCTTTATTCGTAATGGTCAGTGGCGGGTCGACGATGCATGGAATCTTCTATGTTGCTTTGCAGTATTTCGCATCCTCGGTCTTCTCCCTGATCCAATCCATTGTTCTTCCTAGAAGGTAGAACATCGTTTCTATCTGACATCCGTTGAAACATGTTTAGGTTTCGGAGAATGGAGAAGAACACGGACCCGTTAGACGGGCATATCCAGACGGGATTTCGGGATCGCAGCCCCGAATGGCCCACGACGTCACTCCGACGAGTGTGTAGATGCATTTCCGACAGTCTCCTTCGAACTCGACATAGCATTCTTTTGGCGTCGTGCATTGATATTGAACGTCCCGGAGAACAGTTACCAGGCCAGCACCTCCATCTCCCTAAATAAAAATGCATTCGATCAATTCCAGTCGGTAATATATTCGAAACGAAAGCCTTGATTCCGATCGTCTTCTCCGAGGACGCACGTTGCAGACTTGTCTCTTTCCGTGAATGGCACATATCATAGTGTTTCTGTCGTAGAAATTCCCAACCATAGCTTCGCAGTCGCCAGGAGGAATCAACCTCATCGTTGTTACTTTTTCCCTTCGCGGCAGCGCACCAGACCTCAAACCACCTGCACGGCAACGAATCAGTGAGGAGGTGCAGCCTAACCGATGAAATAACTAATTTAGGTTTCCGAGTGAATGATGAAACGACCTCCGCGTATGAGGCCCCAACCAGTGACGAATCCTACTTGGTCTTCCTTGTCGAAAGGCTCCTCGTCTTCTGGAAGGCAGATGGGACGAATGTTGGGGCATTCACAGACGGGGACTTCCTCGGCGAGTCTTATTAGAGCGACGTCGTTCTGGTATGTGTCGCTGATGAAGTTCGGGTGGATGATGAACTCCTCGATCCTCCTGTCCAGTTGACACTCCTCGGGCTCGAGCCTTTCGTGATCGCCGAGGGAAACGTAGAATTCGGCCGGGTTTTCTCTGGCACACAATGGAAGAGTAAATACGGGTGGATGATGAACTCCTCGATCCTCCTGTCCAGTTGACACTCCTCGGGCTCGAGCCTTTCGTGATCGCCGAGGGAAACGTAGAATTCGGCCGGGTTTTCTCTGGCACACAATGGAAGAGTAAATGTTGCTCAGTTTCCGTGAAAACTATTGCATTTGCATTCGACATGGAAATACGCTACACCAGCGGCTCTAAAAGGTTTTAAATAGGAGGCCCGCAAGAACAATAATTTTCTTCAAGGGTGTTCCTGGTGAAACAAATAGATATTAGTGACTGTGTATTGAGGATGATTAATAAAAAACCTGAATTCACGTGAATATTTTTTTCTTAACTTCCGTTTATGCCAACCTAATCGAGGAACTGTATTTTCTTAATAAGAATTTGAGTGCCTCATGTGTTTTCAAGAAATTTGTTGAAAAAAGAACTCAACCAAAAAGTGACATTCATCACGATAATGAAAATTATGCATGGACGGGATGAGCTCGACGGGGTGAGGGTAAGTTTCGCCCAAGAAGAGCCAATATTCGGGGGAGCAAAAAGGAGGTTCATTAAAAACTGACTGTTTTCAACGCATGCGTGACTTTTACTCATCACCATGTGTCCTTTCATACTTTCAAACCTAAGTGTATAAACCACAAAATTTTAACTTTCTCACTTCAACATCACACCAATTAGGCATGAGCCAAGTTTCACCTTTGTGTTTCTACCCGATTCGCTAGGACGAAGTGAAATACTTGAAAACGTTGACCCCAAGAAATATTCCCCCAGGGCATGCACTCCCAAATGCATATACATCATATATTTGTATGGGTATGCTTAAGCCAAGTTTCAGCTTTCCATGTCTCTCCGTTTGGCCGAAGCAAATAAATATATTTTAAAACGTTTCCTCCTTAATTGGGTGCCCCCAGGGCATGAACCTCCTAAACCGGCTTTTTTCTCTAAACTCTATGAATGGGAAAGTCACAATGAAAAGCAAAGTATTTTCGGGGAAGACCGTGAGTAGGGTTCTGAGTTGAAAATTAAGTAGCGGAATGAGGCAGAAAAGTTTCTTGCCGCTTGAACGCAGAGCACAAGGAGTTGCGAGAGAGAAGCAGGAAATGCAGTTACTCGTAAACGCAGTGGGCGGCGGTGATGACGTAACGGCAGTCGATGAGGGTCCCACCGCAAACGTGTTCCCCGTCCCTGGTCTTGAGGGCGACGTTCCACGGCCAATCTCCGCGGGAGGTCCCGACTCCGTTCACTATTCTCTTCGCTGCCGGAAGCAAGGAGTATATCGTGCGCTTCCAATCCATATCCTTGAAGCAGTTGGTTACGCCGCAACCTGCAGCTATAAATAAGGAAATGTAACAAGTGAACCGTGAACCTAATGAACCGTGCCTTTGGTTTTGGAAGCCATGGAGTGAAAAGGGAAACTCACGCCATCCTTCGGTTGGCTTATCGGTTGGTTTATCGGTCGTCCAATCGGTCGTCTTATCGGTCGTCCTATCGGTCGTCCAATCGGTCGTCTTATCGGTCGTCCTATCGGTCGTCCAATCGGTCGTCCTATCGGTCGTCCTATCGGTCGTCCAATCTGCAAGGGGAGAATTCATTTTCTATGTTTAACATCGAAATTCAAACGTCAAAGTAGTGTGCCCGAAGTCGAATGAAGCCGAGGCCTGGTCTCACCTATAACTATCTGTGGGAAAGCGGCTGGCATCAGGGAGCACAACACGACAATTATCTGGTAAAAAGGGAAAATCGGGGGAAACATATATAGATTGTATTATAGGGTCTAAAGACATTTAGTTAACGGAAAGCAATGGAAAAATATATCATGTATTACCGGCAGCAGCATCGTCGGATGAAAGTGTGAAGCTGTTCAATGACTTTCCGACCACGATGGAAAGAAAGGAAAATAATATTTTCCTAGTTGCCGGTGCTGCTTTTATACGAATTTCCATTGTCCTGAAGGAGAAACATGGTGTGCGTGAGGCCATCTGTTTGAACGAGGAAAACGAGGATATATTGCTCAAAAGAATATCCGAATGCTACGAAATTTCGCCAGATATCTAAGCCATATTTACCCGGACAATGGGTAGAACTAAGGAAACGTGGATATTGGCCCGTATGCAGGAACCTATCATTAGCCTTTTAGGTATTAACACATTTTGGGTATTAGGTAATACGAGTAGATAGGAGGTGTGGCATTAAAGTTCCAGGACTGATGTTTTGTGAATCTGTCAATATTGCAAAAATTATTTCCATTTCATGGACTAATTGATAAAACTTGTTGGGCAGTGTAGTGTCAGACCTCATCTGACTAGCATCTTGAATGAGAGTTTGGCTGGCAATGTTGTAACTCAGTGTGTGGGGCGTCTGTCATATTCCCAGAGTGAAGCAATGTCGTATCACATTTAGTCTCACCGGTCAATACAGCTGCAGTAGTCCATCAAATGTTGCAGAAGTGTCTTGAAAAGTTTCTTGTTATGCTCCAGTAATAGCTTTAATAGAAGCGACTTACTATGCATATGCCATCATGATACCGTAATTTGATAGGTTAAATGAGTTAATCACATGAAGGAACACGTCATTCGATTCTCATACGTACGAGGTGTCATGCCATGCCTCCAAAATAGCTATTTCAAGAATGCATTTTCGACAGGACGTTCTCGCACACCGCCCTTCTTTTTTCCAAAATAATAGAATACTTGCCTTGGTGCATGTGGTACATGTATCTGGCGCACATGAAACCATTTTTCCAAACGAGGAAAATGATATTTACTCAAGGACAAAAGAAAACCTGGACGTGAATGCGCCATCTGTTTCAACACGAACCAGGAAAGGTTGTCGTGAACGCCCATCAGGTAAATCTAGCTTTTACCGATGTATTTCCCATATTCTAAGCGATATTCACACATTCTTGGGGAATTTCTATTACTTGAGATGCGGATATGAACGCCTGTTGCAGGCGTTCAGATCCACACCTCTGGGTCACCTCAAACAACCCAACTCCCCATCGATTAGTTCAGGATATGGAAACTTAAGAGGATCCTCTTTTTTTTTTTCAAGACAATGTCCTCATTTTCCTCGTTTTAGCAGATGTCTTTCTACATCTGACTTCGATATCTGCCGTATTCGAGAGAAGAGTATTTTGTTTCAGATCCGCTATCCTGGTTTTCCTCGTTCAAACGATTGTCCTTCACGTACCTGGTACAGTAAATCCAAGTCCAGCGATTGTCCCTCGCCTCTGCTAATATAAATCGGAAGCTGAAGCTAAATCTTATTCTAAAGCTGAGTCTAAGCATGGACAAGAAGGGTTTCAAAAACGCTACCAAAGGAATTCCTAAGGAACCACTTTTAATTTGCGCTAATATTCGATTTTGATACAGTTTCGAGCTAAACTTAATCTAAACGTGATCTGGAAAGATGACAAAAACAACCAAGGGATCCTGCTGTTCCCAATATTAGTGTCTCAGTGTGAAATAAACGAAGGTGTCCACAAATTATTGGGTAGCGGCCGGTGGGGACAAAACCGAAATCACCCATCATAAAGGGATAACATTGGAATGAAATGACCTTCGGCTCCCATATGGTTTCGAACAGATTCCTCCCATATCCAACATTCAGACGACATTTGGACTGGGTCGGATTTGACAAAAAATGTTTCTCCTTTTAAACGATATTTAAGAAAGAGTCTAGGCAAAGAAGAGGCTTTTTGCTTTTAGACTTCTTTTATATATAGACATCACTTTTGATTTAGATTGAAAGTAAGTTTAGCAGAGGCGTGGAAAAGACGGCAGACCTCCAGCATGAAAAATTAAATTACATTCCACTAATTCGAAGAAAAATCCTGACAAACATGGGTTTCACGCGATAAAATGAACTTTTCTCACGTCTTCAGTGAAGTGAGGAGCGGAAGAGATTATAAACGAAAATGGCGCCTATTCCATTTCGTTCAAATATTTTCTTTCCCAATGTGTCGCTATGGGCAAATACTCGGGGTAAGTGTGATCAATATGAAGCATTTCTGACACCAAGACATTTGCAGTTTTTGCATCCAAATTGTGAAAGCTGCTCATTTGACACATATAACTAACCCTGACTAATATTTTCTTACCTCGCGTTCTCCTTCCAAGATCACGCGAACTTCTAAAATGGGGTAAATGTGGTCACTTGAAAATTTGCTTCAGTTAGTCTCGTGAAAATTTCCCAGTTAAATTTTTCTATCACTTGGGATGTGGATCTGAACGCCTGCAACAGACCTTTGTATAGAAAGCGCCATCTCGTAGTACAATCTTTGAGTGTTTCCCAGAGTTTCAACGGGGAAGGGTTTCCCTGAGGAATGCGCCTCGCTGTGGCCGCCAATCAACTGCAGTGAGAGATGAAAATGTGGCCGATGTGTCCCTCTTGATTTCACCCTTAGTCATAAGAACGGCAAGATGGAGTGGTGTGAAATCATGTTCCAAAAGTTCAAATCTGGGCCTTCAAAAACCATACGTTATTAATTATTGATCACATTTTTCATTTCTGAAAAAAAAGTTCGCTACATTTCCTTTTTCCAGTTAGTTTCCGTAATTTTTTTCATTGTTTTCTTTGTTGCTTGATTTCCTTCGTCACGAGTAATTTCTGATGATACCCTTTTTTTCCCTTGTGGAAGCCGTCTTAATCACTCCCGCTGGAACTTGAATTGACACAATCCCAGTTTCCTGAAGAGGGATATCTTGTATTGGAATAGGGGCGCGTCAAAACAGTTGTCAAGGTTAAACTTTCAATTTTTAATTTACTTTATATTTCACATTCTCATCAACCGGACCCAATGCGCCCCGTGCAGCCACCCTCACATTCCTGAAAAAGTCTAACATCAAAGAGCACCCACATTCGTTCAACGTTCTCAGTCTCCAGAAGGAGCAGTTGCTGAATTTTTGTCAGGTATCTCGGGTATCCCAACATCTGAGTGGTCGAGAGAAATAGTTTATAAGGACAAGAAAGTGCATTCAAGTTCAGGCAAAATGCTTCAAACAGGTGAAATAATTAACACCCCTCAGTTTTCAGTTGTCCGTATCCGGAAGCATTCATATTGTCCCACGTAATGCCATAGTTAGTCCACTCGAGGATATTATCAAGAATCTGGTTCACTGCTCACATCAAGTAAGGATTCTTTCCGTTGCATCATCAACGAATGTCTTCGTACGTGGGACTTAGTTATGTAACTATTTCAAATCCATTTTCCTCCGAAACGATGCTCTCGTTTTCCTCGTTCGACCTGTTTACTTCCCTCATCTGGTGAACCCAAGTCCAGGTCTGTGCTACGAAGAGAAACCAATAGTTTTTCCTCATTATGACAGATGTTTTCGTTACATCTGGATAAGAAACCGAACAATAAGTTTGTCCTTAAGGAAAACTGGAAGCATTGTGCGAACAAGCGATATAAATGTGGGCCCAAGAAGAGTGAAGATATCCATAGCCATCAAAAGGCCTTCAGTTGGAGCTTCTGAACGCAGTCGAGCTGTCTCTTTCCCCATCCGACGATGCTGCTGCAGGTAATTGGTGTCCCCCTTCTTTCGTCTTCCGTTCCCTTCAGGTTTTTTCCTCGAGTTTGGATTTAGGTTAGGAGTTATGATTTCTCTCCGATTTATTTTCTCTTCATCAGATCATATTCCTCATCGGCTCGCTGATGCCTGCCGTTCTTATCGCTACTGGTGATGCTAAGTCCATGTTTCGTCTTAATTCGTAATTACCATGAAGTTATGTGGAATCTGTCGATGACACGTTCTTTCTCCATTATCCTCCACTATCGACGGCAGGTGAAAAATGCTGTGAGTCCCAGGTTTTCTTGCTTGCGTTTTAAACATATTCAGTTCAAATCGAGTGGGCAATGTGGAATCTGTCGATGACACGTTCTTTCTCCATTATCCTCCACTATCGACGGCAGGTGAAAAATGCTGTGAGTCCCAGGTTTTCTTGCTTGCGTTTTAAACATATTCAGTTCAAATCGAGTGGGCCTGATAATTTATTTCTTGCATGCAGTCTCGCCGAAGGGGCTCACGGCGTTCAGCACCCTATATGACTTACTTTTTAACGGTGGCCGTCTCTTCTCCTAGCAGAGGCCTCAAGTTAGCTTGCCGGAACTAACCGGAACCTTGCAGCGTGAGTTCTGTAGGGACGGGGAGCACGTCTGCGGGGGGACACTCATCAACAGCCTTTTCGTCGTCACAGCCGCCTATTGCGTTTACCAGTAACCTGGACTTTCCTCCCTACACTTGAGATCCATTGTGTTCAATTAGCAGAGAATTTCTACGTTTCGATGTGATATCAAAACTACTAACCCGTTCTGTCAAGGCTATCAAACATTAGGAAGACGATCGGTTTCAGAAAGAATCCGTCTTCAATTCATTTTTCGGGAGATTGTTTCGGAATGAGTATATGTGAAAATGTCATTTTGAGTCCGACGCGGGTGATAGTGAGTTAAACTTCACACTGATGGAAATTTAATAGAGGAAATTGCCCAAATTAGCCCCAAACCACCAACACGAATGCATGCGCTTTTGCAGATATCGTCATCTCTCTTTGAAAAACGGAATGTTTCCGTTATTGTTGTGAAATCTAAAAATAATTATTCGTACGAAAACAGTTTTTCGACTTCGTAAAGGCGCTAAAGTCGTACACTACGCTTTGACGTAGAGAAGGTAACACGCTGTCCCTCCTCCGCCGGAGTAA